TGCATTTCTCCGCAACATCCTTCCCCAGCTGACCTGGAAAATCCACCCCCAGGGCTGTGGGAAATGACTGGGTGAGGGGTCGTTTCTCTTCTCTAGCAGAATGGGGGTGTCAAACACTGCAGAAGCCACCAGTCCCACTGGCGCAAGTTACTCCGGTGACTCCCTTCTTGGCAGCCTAAGCAGAGGGGTCAGGGCCCAGGATAGCCTGGGCCTTGGAGGATGGGGATCCGTCTCCCCCCTAGAGATGGGTCCCCGTGGGAAGCCAAGCAAGAGCCCTGCGTCAGCCCATACTGTGCATGCTCTGAAGATAAAGTACAGAACCTCAGGCTCAGGGACCGCCACTGCCCAGCATCTTCCACCAGCTGCTAATTTGTCTCCAGAGAAAAATCAGGGTGGTATTTGTTTAGCTGGCGCTCTCCTTTCTGGCTATTCTTCCACTGCTGCCTGTATGTTGTGCCAGGGATGGAATAGCCAGGGGCTGCAGGTTGAGAGTGAGGGGCACCAGCAGAGCCGTGGGGGTGGGATTGGATAGCTGGGGACTGTGGGTTGGGATTGAGGGACATCAGTAGAGCTAGTGGGGGGGAACCCAGGGCTGGACTAGCATGTGGATTTGGGTCAGGACTGAGGGTCACTGGCAGAGCTGTGGTGGGACATGGGCTCAGGTCAGGATTGAGGGGCACCAGCTGGGGTGGGGTGGGGTGGGGGAAGCCCATGGTGAGGATAGGGGCTTGGGTTGGAAGTGAGGGGCACCGGCAGAGCTGTGGGAGGGGGGGGAAGGATGAGAGCTGATATGAAATGTGCAGAGAGCAGATTCCTTTCTGGACTCATGGAATGCATTAAAGACCTTCCCCCCGCACACACCCCCGAGACTCCAACTGGTAATGGATGGGCTAGGAAGCCCCACCTTTCCCTGATGGCATCACCGGGGGGGGGGGAGTATATTAAAGGGTCCCCTTGGCTCCAGGCAGTCCAGAGTAGCCGCAGAACACAGGAAGACTCCACTCCTGTTCCCTGTCTTAAAGGGACAGCCCTCCCAATTAGCTCTGGGCATCCGTCACCCCCTGGGGTACCCCTTGCCCCCTAGTCTCCGGCAGGCATCCCATCTGCCCTGGGCTGGTGGGCCACGCCCTGCTCCCGATGCCCATGCTCTCCTCCAGCATGAACTGCGTAGCCGAGTTCTTCACCTACGAGACCACCAAGTCAGTGGTGGTGAAGAGCTGGACCGTTGGCGTGATCAACCGGGCTGTGCAGCTGCTCATCATCTCATACTTCATCGGGTGAGTGCCCCCCAGGCCAGGGGAGTCTCACTGGCACTCGGGCTTCATGGCCAAACCCCCTTCCCCCTGGCCTCATTATCCGGGGGATCAAGGGGTGAGTCCCAGAGGACCAGGAGAATTACCCTCCAGGGGGCATACCATCATACACTGATCTCCAGAGAGCCCCACTCCCGGAGGAAGGAGGCTGGGGGATGAGCCAACCTCACCTTGGCACAGAATTACTCCCAAGGCTAAAGAGCCCCGCTTGCCCACTGACCCCGCCCTGCATGTGGGTTGCAGAGGGGTGGGGGGAGAGGATATGCTCTCTGGGAGGAATGTAATCAGCTCATCCAACCGCAAGGGTCTCTCTCCTCCCCGGTCCTAGCTGCTGATGGGCGTTGCCAGGTGGGGCTGTGCTTGGGGACACAAGAGGTCCAAGCCCTGCTGGCCCTAACCACTGGGGCCAGACAGCATCTCCTAGAGAGGCAGCTATCCCCTTCCTGCCACCAGTGTGCTTAATTGAAGGGTGGGAGGCTGGCTTTGGAGAAGCCCTTGGTGCATGGTTGTACACACTGTCCAGCCTGACAGTGCCCATCAGCCTCCCCGCGGGAGAGTGCAGAGATAGCCGTTGGGTTGGGTGTCCGGGCAGGGCTGGTGTGTGTGTGACGCTGTGTGAACAGGAGGGGCAGGGCTGTGTGTGGATCTGAGGAGTGAGGGTGGGAGGGGGAGGTTGTGCGGGGGGGCTGGGAGGAAGGGGCGCAGCAGAGGTTGTGTGAGCGGGTGGGGTCTGGGAGGACGGAGCAGAGGGTTGACGGGCAGGATACACGGGGGGTTGGGAGGGTGGGGCACTTTCTCCACTGTCAGTGAAGGCCAAGGGAATTAACCTGCAGCCCTTCCCCCAAAGGGATGCTGAGCCCCCTCTGGCCCCCACCACAACCCTAGTGGCTCCCATGCCACCCCTTCCCCCCCTTGCATGGTCCCCTAGCCCAGTGACATCCACGCAGCCCCTCTCCTTCACCCCCTGCCCCAGTGACCCCTTTGGCACTTTTGAAAATGGGACTTGTGCTCCTAAGTCACTTAGATGCTTTGGATTATTTCATCCTAAATCCCTGTGCTTTCCAATGAGGACCAGGGCCAGATTTTCAAAAGCCTTTCACTCCCTTTCATGCCCCAAAACAGAAGCCCAGATTTCCAAAATATCTTGATGATTGGCCCTGAGTTCTTGTAAACAATCGGGCTGCACTAGGAGACATCGTGTGCTTGGTGAATTTGGCCCCCATTGTGTGCAGGGTGACTGCAAAAAAAAAAAAAATTGGACTTTGTGCTCTTTTGAAAATCTCTTTTTTGGGCTCCTAAGTCCTGGGACGTTAGATCCTCCATTACCTGGGCACTTTTGGAAAATCTACCACGGAGCAACAAGAAAAAGCAGTGAAGGTAGTGGGGGTACAACTGCAGAGAAGAATCTGCAGGGGGCCACTAGGTGGCACGAGATGTTTAGGAAGAAGAGCTCTGTGTGGCTTTTTACATCCAGGCTGGCTCTGAGCCCGCTCCGCTCACTTGTTATTTTAAATGGACGTTTTAACTTTTGCTGCCGCTTTTCAGAAGGAAGTGGCATTTCAGTAACTGGGGTTACTGAATCAACCTACTCCCAAAATCAGGCGACAGTCTTATAAAATTCCTTTGCCTTCTGGATCCTGAGCCGTCCGGGGACATGGGGGTCCTGTTATCATGTTCTTCTTGGTAATCAGCATGACTAGACGCTTGCATTTGGTTTTTGTTGATAAAAGCAAAGTGTGTGACCTCATCTTGCCAAGGGGCACTGCTGGCTGTGTGCCAGCATTTGAACGGGGAGGTGATCCCGCAGCAAGGACCGAAGGTAAACGGACGAGCTGCCCCAGGTGGGCAGCAATGCAGTGTGGGATGGCAGCAAGAGGGTGGTCAGGAGCAAAATGGTCCTTTTGAAAGGGGATGCAGCCACCCACACTGGAATTCCAGGAACTCAGTCTGAAAGAGCTCACCCGCTTCCAAAACGGATTGATGAATGTGGCACAAGATACTGGATCATTTGAAAACAGGACACGTGTGTGGACCCAATGCAGTTTAGGCTGAAGAAAACTAAAGTTAATCCGAAAACAAAACCATTTCCATTCAGACACATTAAATCCCATGACTCCAGGAGGTGGGGCTCTAGCAACGCCAGCAAAGACTCCCAATAAAATCCCAAGAATTGGGGACAATGCAAAGGGATCTTCACAACTCTCTCCTGAGCCTGTCCCAGGTTGGCGAATTGTGGGGGAGTTTCCCCAACCTGCCCCTCCGGTGAGATGCTAATGTGGATCTCTGTCCCTCTCTCCCCACAGCTGGGTGTTTCTCCATGAGAAGGCGTACCAGGTGCGGGACACCTCCATTGAGTCCTCTGTGGTGACTAAGGTCAAGGGCTTCGGCAAATACACCAACAGGGTCATGGACACGGCAGACTACGTTACACCCCCACAGGTAATCCTCATGTTGGAGGGCCAGTACCAGAGGAGTGGTTAAAAATAACCAGGACTGGGGTATTGTGCGATGGGAGCTAAGGATGCCAAAAAGGGCTGGATTATTACTGCTATTATTCATGTTATGATAGTGTCCAGAGGCTCCAGCTGAGATCAGGGTCCGGTCATGCTGGGCTCTG